CCCCCCCCATAAATGTACGCACAATGCAATAAACCAAAGCATGCTGTGAATGCCAAAATTCAAATAAACGAAAAACAAAACGGAAAGCAGAAAGAAACGTAACAATACGAGAGTAACGGTGAATACAACAAAAGTGAACGAAAGCAAAGACCGTGTATAACAAGATAGTTCACTTGTCTCTTTGAGCCAATTTAAAAAAAAAATGTCCTCAAAATTTCGGTGGTGCCCTCTTCGAAAAAGTGCGAACTTTCAGAACAGAGTAACCCTATTTGTGTGAAAAACAATAGAAGGGAATTGAACAAACTGTGCTGTTCCTATTCTTCTGGAGAAACGAAAGAGAGCCTCAAAACCGTGACCATCAATAGTTCATTTATAGCGGCACCAGCCATCCATGTCTAGGTGCTGTTTTAGCCTAGAGCTTCAAAACAAAGACTGCAGCGCCGTCTGAACCAATGCGTGGACTTCCGCGGACACTTTTTTGGCAGAGTGAACTATCTTATTATGTACTATCTTTGACCAAACAGAAAGGGGGATCTCTTGTGACACGGAACAGAGCGAGAGTTTGGGGAGGCGGCGACGTGAGATACCTGATCTAGCAAGGGGGAGGACTGCAAAGTATAGTCGGGTTGGGCGTGGGGGCTCTGTGAAAACAAAAATAAAATGCGAAAACATCCAACATGTTAGGTAGACTTTTTTTGGTATAATAAAAAAAAAATTTTTTTTAAAGAAAAGAAAGGTAGATCACTTCAGAGTTTAGTTAAAGTAAGAGTCTTACGGCACTTGCAACACAATAAGGTCATATAAGTGCCGAAGATTAGAGGTGTTACAAGAGAGTAACAAACACAAAAAAGAAGGAGGAGAGAATAAGGACGATAGACGTTTTTTAAAGTTTTAGTAGACGTTTTACGGCGCTCGCAACTGCATAATGTCATATGGGTGCCAGAAGATTAGAGGTGTTGCAAGAGGGTAACAAACATAAAAAAGAAGGAGGGGAGATAGGGACGATAGATGTTTGATAGGAAAAAAGAAACAAACCACACCAGAGCACACGTCAACCATCCACGTAGATCACTTAAGTATTTAAAGTACGAGTTTTACGGCACTTGCAGCACAGATGAGCATGTAAGTGCCAAAGATAAGAGGTGTTACTAGAGAGTAACATACAAGGAAAAGGAGGAGATTTGAGGAAAGAAAAGCACATCAACACAATAATGGTCATTTAGTGCTTGGAAAAAGTAAGACAGACAGACAGAAACAACAGAGGGGAAAGTAAAGAAGTAGGACCTACCAGTGGCGCCCTCAAACAACCCACGAAAAGGAGGAGTTTTAGTTTTTGTAAGGTTTTACTGCGCTCGCAACTGCATACGGTAATATGAGCTACAAGGGGTGGATGTCGACAGAGAAGTCCAAACGGGGAATCAGGCCTACTCTGCTCACCTCTCTAGCCTCAACAGCACAAAGCCTGATTCAACTATCAAAGCATCCCGGAAATAGCAGTTCACAAGAGAGTGACAAACATACAAAAGAAGTAGAGGGAAAAAAAGCAGTAGTTCCCCCTATGTTGTTCCGGCACAGTATGAGCACGACATTGATAAATTGATGCATTTACTATGCATAAGAACATGTTAATATCCCCCCTTTTGGAATGGCCTAAAGACACTTCAGTCAGTAGCACTGTCACTGTCTTGGTTGGGGGGGGGGGGAGAAGGTGGATAGACGTTTGATAGGAAAGAAGGAGGAGAGATAAGGACGATAGATGTTTGATAGGAAAGAAGGAGGACAGATAAGGACAATGGATGTTTGATAAGAAAGGAGGAGGAGACAAAAGGACAATAGATGTTTGATAGGAATAAAGGAGGAGAAAAAAGGACGATAGATCTTAGATAGGACAGAAGGAGGTGAGAGAAGGACGATAGATGTTTGATAGGAAAGGGAGAAGAGATAAGGATGCTAGATGTTTAGTTTAGTTTTAATAAGAGTTTTACGGCACTTGCAACACACTAAGGTCATAAAAGTGCCGAAGATTGGAGGTGTTACAAGAGAGTAACAAACACAAAAAAGAAGGAGGAGAGATAAGGACGATAGTTGCTTGATAGGAAAGAAGGAGCAAACCACACCGTAGCACCCACAAAAAAACCCACCAATATATGTTTGATAGGAAAGAAGGGAGAGAGATAAGAACGACAGATGTTCGAAAGGAAAGAAGGGAGAGAGATAAGGACGAAAGATGTTTGATAGGAAAGTAGGAGTAGACCATAAAACAGCACCCGCCAACCACCCACACGGTGGATCGTGAATCCTCTGTTTCAGAAAACAAAGAAGCGATGGCGGACACACAATGTCCATGAATGTGAACAACGACCATGTAGCAAGTTGTCCCGATATTTCACACCTGTATCAGGAAACGACACTTAATGCGGTTTTTGGGACACTTGAATAGACATAAAGGTCTTGAACATCTAGCTCTCACTGGCAAAATTGAAGGCAAATGAGGCAGGGGTAGGCTCAAAGCGACCTTCTTAGGGAACCTAAACAAATGTGTAACGAGGAAAAATCAGGGAAACATAACTTTCTTAAGAGCATCCGAGCAAAGGAATGAATGGAGAACCATGATCACTGATGTCTGTCACAGATCTGGCACTGGATGATGATGATGATGATGATGATGAGACAGAGGAAAGTGCACCAGCCATAACCACACAGCCTTAGACGGCGAGCTCACAAGCGATGACTACATGCCGTGTGTCGTATCCCCGGACAGCTCTTCTACTGTCCTAAGCCCAACATTTGGGGAAAACAAAATCTTTCTAGCAGTTTCTTCTTAATCCCTGGTATTTAATACATGTGCTTGACAAACAGTTTGTCCAAATTCTACTTCTAAATGGTGAAAAAAGTTGAAAAAAAAAAGCAAGAAAACTATATACGTAACAAAGGTGCAATTATCAACAGAATGAAACAGTTTTTTCTTTCTCCTGAAAAGTCTGGCTGTCTGGACTTGAAACATAATTTGAACAGCTTGCCAAAGTCACACTGACAAACCGCAACCGTAGTGCTTTCTTGTCGTACCTCCATTAAAAAAAAAAAGTGACATCTTCTTAAGCTCACTCTTTGTTATAATGAACTGTTTTCACAGTTATTAAAAATGGAGAAAAGACAAGAAAGCACTGTGAGGTCGCGAAATGAACAGAGACAGAAACAGGGACAGAGACAGGAAACACATCCGTGCACGTTGGTTCCCAGAGTACATCAAACACCATTGTATTGGTCGACAAGAGACGAATAGGTTAATAGACGGACCCCAACCAAGAAAAACACACACACACACAGACAGACTGGTGATTACAGAAACTAGCAACAGGCGAGGGGG